AAGGAGCGGGCTCCGGCGCCCCGGAGTGCCGGGAGCATCTCTTCAAGGTGCTGGTGATCGGGGAGCTGGGCGTTGGTAAAACCAGCATTATCAAGCGCTACGTGCACCAGCTTTTCTCCCAGCACTACCGGGCCACTATCGGGGTGGATTTCGCCCTCAAAGTCATCAATTGGGACAGCAAGACCTTGGTGCGGCTGCAGCTCTGGGATATAGCAGGTAAGGGCGCGTATGTGTGTGTCTGTCTGCCGGGTGAGCCCCGAGAGGGCAGAGGCCTGTGAACCCGGCTGCCTGGGGTCCTAGGGCCCGGTCTCTGCGGAGGAAAGCCTATTTCAGCTGTGAAGTCTGTCTTCTTATGTTTCTCCTTCCCCTTTACCTGCAACCCCTCTCGTCTGCATTTAGGGCATAAGTAGAGGGAGGTCTTGATGTGGGGGTGAAGCTTTTGACTTTTTATAGGCTGCGTGTGCTCCTGTTAGCCGATGCAGTGAAGCTCTTGGCTTGGCCTGGGTTTTTACAGCAGTCCTCAAAGCTGCTCTGCTCTACTTGCTGGCTGCAGGGCTACCGGAGGGTTCCTGTTTCTACCGCTCCTCCTCAACTCATTTGCCTGGCCGTTTGTGGCCTCGGTGATGACCACTGCTTAAATTCATTTAGGTTATGGTTCCATAACACTTCTAAAGGAAATAAATATCTTTTCTAGGTGGGTTCTGTTTAGTAAGCATGCGTTACAGGTTAAAGGTAACTCAAATAGCTAAAATTGTCCTCAAAAGAAGTATGCTCAAACTTTGTATGTTTGGAGTCACTTAACTTAAAAGTAACTTGTGTCCCTACAACGTGGAGTAATGGAATGGGACTTGTGTTATGCTTAGTTCTGCGTTCAAATCATGGGTTTGTGTATCAAAAAGATACTTTGAGCAGGCGGAAGCAGAAAATGCCAGTTTACTTGTGTAAGCTACACGTCATTCCTTTCCGAGATACAATTCAAAACTGTTCTTTAACACTTCTGTCTTAAAGGCTACAGCTGTGTTCCTGTCATGGTGACGCTTACGCTGCAGAGTTAAATGCCACAGAACAAACTCTGTTTTGCTGTAGTCTTGTAAGAAGTCTGTGTCCTCGACTCCTTAATTGTCTCAAGTTGGTATTGTGTCTCTGGGTTTGTGTACAGCCCAGATGTTAACCTGCAGCTCTCTTCACCCCTCTTCACCCTGTTCAGAATACCTCCTTGGGTATGAAAAAGTAGACTTTATTTCAAATGCTTGTGTGTAAACTTACGCTGCTGGAAGATACTAGGGTGACAACTGGCAGCTATTGTTTCCATGAACTTTATGCTTCATCAAGTGGAAGCTCAGAAAAGAGGAAGCGTAACACGTGGCTGCTGTAACCCTGTGACAGACCAGCTGTACATCAGTTTCTGGTCTTTCTGCTCTAAAGGTTATCTTAAAACACTTCAAATGTGATTCCTCAATCTAAAAAGCCTGTTTCCTACTACCATATGCTGAACATGCTACAGATCTTTCTGCTGCTGACCTGTTGGGCAAGCTAAAATGTTTTCTAATTGCTGTTTTGGAGAGCAAGTAAAACGTTGGCAAGCTTTCTCTTCTGATGCGTTCCTTTTGCAGATCAGTTTTAACTTTCTTTAAATCAATTGGTAGTATTGGTGCAAGCTGCTACAATGCTCCAGATGTATTTGAGCAAGTCTGGGATTCCAAAAATTAAAAAGGGGAGACTATCAGGATCCTGGGGTTTGGCAGGCTGCCATGCTTGTGTTTAACTTCTCTTCAGCTCTTGGTTTCTGAGACTGGGTTAGGCTGTGTGCTTTGCCAAAGCAATCTGTTTCAACAGGTTAGGCAGAAACGTAGCTGTGACTTGTACCAGAGTTTGTACAGAACCTATTTATGTTATGGCAAGTCCTATCAGTACACCCATGCATTAATTTCAAGATCTAGAAGACAGTATTTTTCACTCTTGGTTATTGCTCATAGTGTGTCTTGGACACTGTTAGGTGAAGACTGAGTTAAGAGCTGGTGGAGGCTTGTACTAATATTATCGATAGACTGAAGAATAGAATTTTTTCTGTCACCAAAATGTCTATGTACTAGTCAAAACACTTCCAGACCTATCACAAATGGTGCCCTACTAAACTGAATGGGGAGCATTTTTCATATTTTTACAATGTGGTGCATAGTTTTGTATGAAACTCGTGATTTCCCTAGAAAAAATGAAAAAGGAAAATACAACTGTTTTGTGATTTGCACTCCAAACTCTTATGTCTAATCTGGCAGTTTAGGCTATTCTGTTTCTAGGGGGTTGGGGTTCCTTCCCTAATTGACAAATAAGACCAAGAAGAGAAGTAATCTTAGTCTTAATAATATTTGATTGGTCTGAGTTTAGCCAGTGTGACAGTAACAGTTTAGACTCCCTATAGAATTCAACGTCTCAGTTAAGTGTTCGTCATTAAAATGAAAGGGATTTTAGTATCCATAAGGGTTGCTTCATGGTCTTCGAACTGCTGAAGTCCTTGACCTGGGAATGTGTTTTGCAGCTGTCCATGTCTATATTCAGGAATATTTCTACATGCCTGAGGATGTTAAAAGGCTTGTATAGAAATTACTAGTTAGAGAACCAAGTTGGAAGTGGCTTCTGTACAGTCACAGCACTTATTCCCTAAAGCGCTTTATTAAAGTGTGTAACAAAGTATTTGAGCATGTGATAGTCATTCCCTTTTAACTCATCAGCCCATCTTCTGGCTTTCAACAGCTCATGTAGATAATTTTGTCTGCTGGTGCGTGCAGACAAGCAGCTTTAGATCTCTTCAAGAGATCTAAATCTTATGGTAAGTAAAGTTACATGTGACTTCGCTGCAAGCAAGATGGTGCTGGCATTCTGAATTGATTTCAATGCTTGTAAAAAGCCTTCTGAATTAAAGTCTAACCCTTAAGCATAGTAAGGCATGTTATTTTTCACTAGATCAAAGCTTGTACTTAACAGTTCCTCATAAAAAGCTTTCCTCAAAGAGCTAGGTGCTGCAACCTAAGGTTCTGTACCTAAATCAATGATAAGAATTAGCCATGTAGTTCACTCATCAGCTGCAGATTGTAATGCAGATACTGTGTTGGCTTCTGGTGCAATCCTAGCCAAAATGGTGAATGTTGTGCTGTATATTGCAACGCATCAGGTTCCTGAGTGACTTCAATTTCTCATGCTAGCTGAGTTTCTTTAGTGATTAGATAATTCTATCAAACAGAGCATGACAATGTTACAGAATCGCAGAATGTTAGAGATTGGAAGGGACCTCAAAGGATCATCTAGTCCAATCCCCCTGCCAGAGCAGGACCACCTAGATCAGATCACACAAGAACGCGTCCAGGCGGCTTTGGAACATCTCCAGAGAAGGAGACTCCACAACCTTTCTGGGCAGCCTGTTCCAGTGTTCTGTTACCCTTACTGGGAAGAAGTTCTTCCTCATGTTTAAGCAGAACCTCCTATGTTCCAGCTTATATCCATTTCCCCTTGTCCTATCATTGGATGCCACTGAGAAGAGCCTGGCTCCATCCTCATGACAGTCACCCTTTACATATTTATAAACATTAATGATTAATCTCACACTGCCTGTGCTTTTTTTTTCTGATGAAAATAGCCTTCTTGTTGTAAGGTATGAAGAACTGCAAATTCCTGCAGCAGAATCAAAGGGAGGAGGGGTTGTGAAACAGAGAAGGGGGAAGAGTACTGTTGTGCCTAGGCTTGTATATTCCAGACATACTCAGGTGTTTTAGTTTTTGGGCACAGATTGTAGGTTCCTGAATAATGGAGGTGAAAAAGTTTGGGTGTAAGACTGATCAGTCACTGTCAAGTTGTCTTGATTGCAGCATGAAGTATTCTGAAAGAAGCTGAACAGATTACCTACATGTTCATACAGGAGCAAAACTTGTAAACCTTAGCTGCCATTAGGCATTACTCTTGGTTTTTATGTTGACATATGGAGTTATGATAAGTGTCTCTAACTGGATAAATTCTGAAAGTGTTAGAACCAGGTTAAACCCCCTTGATCAAAGGATGTAAATAATTGGTGAATTAAATAGGAGATAGGAATGAGTCATTGTGATAAAGAGATACAAAACAAAATAACCTTAATGATAGGGAAGTGCTGTTAAAGTCTATTTCAATACACAAGAGATTCCTACTTGACAGGCATGCTGTTCTAGCAAGTATAGTGCACTGACCGCAACGTAGTGTAGGAGGTGAACATAGCGTATTGATGAAACTCAGCCAAATATCATTGAAAGAACACTGTGAGGACTTTCTGTGTCAAAAACTTTTGATCTGATCTAATAAGACCAGCAACTGAGTAGCATTAGTTGCTGCTTTATGATTATATTGTCTATCACTGTAACTCACATCAACCTGTACGAGAATGCAACTCCCTGGAGGGCAGGGGTGATGAGAGTCACAGATGACCACTTGAGCTTGGCTTCTCCTGAAGAATGTCACTAATGACAACTGGTACACAAATTTGTTTTTAAAGCTTTGACTGAGTGATTCTGCATTAACTTTGATGTAATAGCACCCTTTTTCTAGGACTTAATTAGAATTTCTTTATAATTAACTGGAAGACCATGGCTATGAAATTGGCCAAACAGAAAAGGAATGATTGTACTTCGGTATTCTACATGTGCTCTACACAAGTTTTCAGGATTTGAATTATAAGACTTGTAGCATGCAAATTTGTTACCAAGCTCTTGTCTGTCTCCTTGAAAATATCTGAACTCTAACTTATTAGAAGTATCTACCAGTCCCCAAGAGGATGGAGAAATCAGATGAGTGTTTTGTTCAAACACAAAGCTGAAGAGCTAGAATAACCCATCTTTTTCTGTGAAGACAAACAAGTCTTAGAAATGTGAATTGCCATTAAACTTTTAACATGTTTAGGAACTTCCTCTCATCTATAGGAAGCCATGAGAAATGGGAAAGTGAGTGCAGGAAACAATAGATGTGGGGGAAGGTGAGGAGGATATTCTGAAACTTGCTTCACAGTAGAGAAGAAAACATAAACTGAAATGAGCACTTGCAAAGTGAGACAGTGAAGGCAAAATGGAAGCCTTCTAACTTAGTTAAGCAGGAGTGATGCCGCACCTGACAAACTTTTCTGCCCCAATGGAATATGATCTGTCTCCTGGAAAGGTGGAGTGCTTGGTAGTTACGCACCTTCTGTGGAACATAGCTGT